ACAGCGACGAGGCCGAAGCAGACGCAAGAGCGCCGAAACAGATAAAAACGGGCGCAGACGACGCGATATCGAGCAGCGCCGAAACAGACGGAGACGACGAAGCGATATCGAGCAGTGCCGAAAAAGACGGAGACGATGAAGCTCGAGCAGGTGTAGCGATATCGAGGGACGACGGCGCGCGCAATGAGGGCAGCGACGTCGATGCCGACGAAGACGCAGACGGAAACCCTAGAGAAGCGAGGGCAAGCATCCTCGGGCATCGACGCCGACGAAGACGCGCAAAGGAGGGCAGCGACGCCATTGGAAACCCTAACGGACCTCTCGAGCTTAGCCGACATCTTTTATATATATATATATATATATATATATATATATATAATTAATATAATAAACTCATGCAACATAATAAATTGATTGATTCGAAAAATAAGATAATTTGAAAACACATGTTATTCGAAAACAAATGATTGAAGCAATGAAAAAAGATTTAAGTCTGCATACAAACAGAATTAATTGTCTTCCAGTCGCATTAGTTGGTATTGGGCCATATAGGAAGGTTTACCCTCCAATTATTACATTAACGTTAAGGAAGATTTACATAGATACCACTCTATTACTATGCATTTATATATCTAACACCTAAACTTCAATTTTAAATACATACCACTTACCTATGCATGAAAAGGTGTATTTCCCTTTTTTAAAGTTAAAATGGAGGCATTTTCTATGTGATATAAAAGATTTGGGTGATATATAAGATTTGGCACAAGTCATTGTCTAAAAAAAGTGGTATTATAATAAATTTGCAACAAAAAGTCAATAATTATAGCTTATGGTTATTGTTTGATAAGAACATGCATAAAAACTTTTTCCTTGGACCCTGCCACTGACCACCTCTCACAACATCATGGAAAATAAGGATATATAATCTAAGATCATCTTTTCTAAAAAAAAATATCCCTTTCAAGCTTTGTTTATCTTATAATCTCATAGAAAACAAAGTCAACTAGATTACTTTACAACCTCATCATCAAATTGTTCGAACGAAAAACTCATTCTATCTTAAAAAATCTCCCAACAAAATACAAAATTCACCTCCCTTACAGCAATGTAACTTTACTTCTACAACAACAAAACCTTTATGCCACTAAGGGTCTGTTCGGAGCAGCTGCAGCTTATTGAATAATTTGTTGATAAGCTATTTAAAAATAACTTGTTGATAAGCTAGGTGCGGTGACTATTACAAATTTTTATTTTCTTGTCAAAGCCAGACCGCTGTCAGAAAGCTGCCAGGTGAGGTGTGAAAGTATTGTTTTCAGCATTTTCAAATCGCATAAGCTGTCAAAACTCAGTTTACCCAAACAAGCCAGGTGCGTTTTCAAAACGTCACCGCACCAAATAAACTGCCCCAAACGGGCCCTAAGTGGGGTCGGCTACATGAATCATTTTTCTCCATTGCGTCATATTTTTAATAAATTAAGATAATTTTTTATACAATATGCCCAAGTCTTCCTAGGTCTATCTCTGCCTTTCTTAACATAAATCAAATTTAAAACATCTACTCTTCAAATTGGATCATCAGATGGTCGACGTTTAATGTGACCAAACCATCTAAGACGACTCACTCTTATTTTGTCCGTCACTTTACTTCTAAGGAAAAAAAATAGAGGTGGATCAATACTAGTCCAAGTTTAAAGAAAAACAAACTCTCTCAAGTCCAAATCAACTCACTCTTCTTTCAACTCCTATCTACTGCCACCAATTGTGTTTTACATCACTCTACAAAAAGCGAACTTTACACTGTAACACACAATCGAAGAAGCAAAGTGTGCGTCCTACAACAAAATTGTGCACAATCAGTGAAATCACCGGAGAAATTTTGTATAATTTAGGTGAAAATTCTGCCAACATAAGTGTGAGATTTTCTAACATAATTTCCACTAGAAATCCCATCATATCTCCGTAACCCTTTTGTCCCTATACTATAGAAGCAGGAGACTGAAAAAGATGCTACATGGGAGAAGAAATAAGAAATATGAGAACAATATCCACAACTTTTCAATTAAGGTATGAACTATGTTATAATACTTTAAATTTCAAAAACAAAATACTTATGAGGTAATAATAACAAGTTAAGTTTTTAATTAACTTAATTATTAAAAAAAAGAAAACAAAATGAATTTAGCTGTTTACGACACCTGCTTCAAAGCTATCGTTCATTCGAACTTCCACATCTCATGGGAAAGCTTTAATGAGAGATTATTCCCTCGTCTAATTGCTCCACGTGAAACAGAAAGCAACGAGCGAAAGATAAAGTGACAGAGAGAGAGAGGGGAGGAGAAGGGAGAAAGCTACAGAAGAAAGAGAGGAAGGAGAAGTAGACGTGCCTTAATCAAAGAAGAAGAAGAAGAAGAAGAAGAAGAAGAAGAAGAAGAAGAAGAAGGGGAGGAAGGTTGTGGGAAACTTGTGTGAGGAAGATCGAGGCTCGTGCGGAATTTTTACATGTCCTAGAGGCTCCAATGAGCATTCTTCGAGCGGCTCGAGCATGTTCGATAGTCCCAGGCGAGCGCTAACGAAGGAATGGAAGACCAAAGTTTCCAAAGCTCGCATTGGAGTGAGGGAGGCAATGGAGGCATGGTTTCCTTCAGCCGGGCGACTCGTCCTAAATGATGCGCAACATTCGAGCCTGAAAGACACTAAAGCGAGTGTCTTTGCATAGACTCAAGGAAACGACTTTCAGGAGCATTCCCCTACACGTGAGAAGCTCGATTGAGAGCCTTATAAATTTTGAGTGCGGTAACCGTTAAAACAATGAGGAAAGGAAAGGGCTTTGGGACATAGGTAAGAAAATCTAAAACATAAATTTATAGTTTTAATTATTATCTTCTTTATTAGGTTAGAGAAATTTAATTTTATTTAGTAGGGGTGAAATCAAAGAAAACCCTAATCTCTAATTTCAGAGATTATGGTTGAAAATTATTTAGAACTTGATAAATAAGCTGAAATCCACAAAAGAAAGCGAAATTGTAAGCCCGATATCTATATACAAAAATTAAATATTTAATTTTTATTTACTATCTAGTTTAGCTGCAAATTTATGTTAGATCCTCAAATCTAACAATTAGTGCTCAATTAAAATATTTTACTAATGAAAGAAATTCATAAATAAGGTTTCCATGTTTCATAAAGTTTCGAACTAAATGATGTTAATGCATAGAATTTTATTAAACCTTATTATACATATATGTTTAATTAATTCAATTCGTTCAATGTTATAAAAAAAGAGGAAACCTAATACCAAAAAAACACAAAATAATAGAAGCTAATTAAATTTCAATTGTTACTATAGGTGAGCCAAAGAACTAGACTGACCAAGAAAAAGGTACTGACTGGATCGATCAGGTGAGTAAAAATATTTTTATTTTATAATAATTTTGTTCATTTATAAAAGTAATTGCAACTATTTAACCAACTTCAGTATTTCTCTAAAAATACAAAAATTCATATTATTCAAATATTATTACAAGAAAAAAATAAAATATAATATACGCATGCATATGGAGTCACCCATAGATAATTCTGGCAGGGATGCGATGTACCAGTGCATGAAAATAAAAATCAAAATGATTGCATGCATTTTTTATGGGTTGGAAAATATTAAACGTGCTCTTCTAGTATACAATTAGAATGTGACTCCCTTTGATGGATATTGTAACAAAATAAATAAAAACAATAAAAAATTGCTTTCTTTACTATTTTCTTTTTAATGCTCATAGTATTTTATTGTTTACTGCATTATTTACAAAATATTTTAAAATGTAACTTAAAAATATTTTGTTCGTTGAGTAGTTTAACTCACAGTTTCAGTTGCTAACATTTTATAGAAAAACTTGTTATAGAATAAATAGATCCTAGAGAATATGTATACAAGCGAAGAGGAGCTCAGGCTAACAAGTGTTACACTTTAGATTTTATATTTTCATATTTGTAAAAGTTTAATTATGAATAAATTGTTGTAAATTAAAATTTTATGAAATAGAATGACTATTTTATGTTTTGGATCATTTCATTTACAAAATAAAGTTGTTAGAAAAGGTTTAGGGTTTAGGGTTAAGGATTCAATTCTAGCCTTCGTAATCCAAACTATTGGGTCGGGTCGCAACAAAATGAATTTTACTCAACAATGTAAGCAAAATCAGGCATTGAAAGCTTGCGCAATAAATGAAAAGAACACAACTTTTAAGGGAATAAAATCCCAAAATGTTTCCCTGCTATTTGAATATGGCGAATTTAGTCAATTTGAATATGGTGAATTTAGTCCAATTGTAATGCTTCAATTTAATTCCCCAACTATTGAAAATTGATCCAAAATGAACCCTCATGTAAAAAATTATGACAAAAAAAAGATCCCAATTTAGTCCATCGACTATACAAGGTTGCTCTCACTTTAGTCCATGAATAGCTATTGGATTCACTTTTCAATAATTAGGGGAGTAAATTAGAGAATTGCAACACATTCAAAGGCTCAATGAATGATTTAGGGATTTAAACCTCAAAGCTAAGCATTACATTGGAATAGTTTGATTTATTGACATATATCATTCATGATATATTAGTTAAATTGGAAAATGATGTTCAATAAATAATGTTCAATGAAGTCAATAATGACTTGTTTGGCTTTATCAAAGAATATGGTTGAAATGTGAAATTATGATGTAGAAACAAAATGGAATATTTTGTCAGACAATCAACAAAATAATCAATTTAGAAACAAAAAATTATAATAAATTACTAAATGAAAACTATTGGCTTTAAAGTTTGTCATTAACTCCACTCTCTGACCCTTAATTATTTGTTAATATCACATCTTGCAGCAACTTCTTAAAAAATAGTTGTACTCTTTGATTATGAAAATAAATGCGCAATTGTTCAAGATGTGAATATTCTGTTAAGAACCTTTGGACTGGCTGACGTTATATGGATAGCTGAGAACACACAAAACATTGAAAACTTAAATTGATTGTTCAAGGTAAATGGCCACCTTGTTGTTCCATATTTAGCTTGCAATCAATGGGTATATTTGATCAATATTTGGAAATAAATTTAAGGAAATATTCACCAAGAAAAGTATTTGAAGAACAAAATATCATGCTGAAACAGTATTTAAGAGAAAAACCACTAAGCATATGAATTTTCATTAAGATTTATGAATGATTAAAGATACTATTTAATAGGAAATTTTATTTTATAATGCCTCCTCAAGAAAAGTACTTTAAATTATACATATCTAAGTATTAGTAATTCAAATGGTCATTTATTCTATTTGTGTTGGACAACATGCTGATATATAAGACATTTTAAATAAAATTTAGAAAAATAGAGGAAGATCAAGAAAATAAGGACCTTGAGAAAAGTAGAACACAGATTGAGACAATGCATTTACACATCTTAGTTTATCTAGAATTGATAATTATCAGTCAAAATATAAGTGCAAATCAAGTAATACCTAATTACAATGAACATGAATACAATAAAATTATTATGCAATAGGATTTTGATGAAGACAACTTCGAGCATTAAAGAAAAGTTTGAAAAAACACAGTGCCTCATGAGTATTATAAATGTGATGTTTGAGGTTTTTTAAATTGTAATGAGGCTGACTTCGTTATACAGATCTGTATGAGTGTTAAAAAAATTGAAAAAAGATTATTGAGAAGGATTTATGGTAGAACAGAAAAGGACAGAGCAAGAAATGATTGCGTTATAAAAATATTAAGTCAGCAAATAATAAAGATAAAATTGTAAAGCATGAATTTTAGTGGAATCAGGCATGCAATGTCAAGGGAATTATCCAATAATGACGGAATAGAACTTGTATGAAGAAAGATAAAAAAGAGAAAAAGATTGACCAAAAATATTGCAACTAAAAATTGCTCAAAAATACACATGTAATTTAAAGTTAGGGGCATTTACATACATACCACCCAATTCATATGTATTTACATATCTAACACCTAAACATTCATATTTGCATGCATACCACTCAAATTTTTAACAACACAAAAATACAACCATCCCTTTCATCTTAAAAGTGTAATACACTTCTTGTGTATAAGTTTATGACACCAAGGTATTTTAGGTGCAAATATCATACTTTGGGTGTTAGATGAGTAAATTCAAAGGGGAATTTTATGGTATGTATGTAAATTTCCCTTAAAAATTAAAACCTCCTGCCACACTCAATGGGAACACACGGAGAAACTCATAAATCCGACACTAAATTATTTTGACTTGAGGCTTAATGATGATATTTACCAGCATGTTTTGAAGTGCCAAAAAACAATCAATAGAATAACCGAGCATAAAACAACAAAAGCACAAAGAAGCAACATAATGAAGTTTGAGGTGCTTGAGAAAAAAGATAAGGACCTGCCTTCGTCCGTAGTTGTCAGAAACTATGCCCCAAGAGTACACGCCAAACAGCATGCCCACAAAAACAACACTTGTAATTAAGCTCTCCTCATGTGAAGAAAGATTCCACTGGACTTGAACAGAAGGTCCTACAAATGAAAGAAGCATCATTTCCGCCGCTTCTGAAATCCAACCCATGCCAGCATAAGCAAGCACAAGGAATTGGAAGTACCCAAAACCCTGTGAGATAAGCGCTTCATCGACAGTAAATGTGTTACTTCCACTTCCCATCTGCAAACATAGGAAATCAAGTAATCGTAAACAACTATTGTGTACCGTGAAACTCAAAAATCATAGGGCTTATTTGGGAACATTTTTATATTTTGTTTATGTTGAAAATTTTTGCTTTTGTCTTAAAAACTTGTTTGTTTTGTGCATTTTATATATGCTTTAATTTTTTTCTTTTTAAAATCAAACTAATTTGTTTTAAAAACACTCAAAAGTTATTTTTGAGTGATTTTAAAAACAGTTATATATAACATACAAAATATGCTTCATTTTAAATAAAAACATAAAAGACAAAAAAAAAATTCAAAAGCGATCCCAAACGGCTCTTTATATAGCTATAATAATAAGGCTTGAATTTCAACACGAGGACAGATAATGATAGGTAAAAGCAAAAGATAGGTGAATCTCCTAAAAAAACTAAGCAAAAAAAATAGCACAAGGAGCTGCGGATAAAGGCCCTGGTATATCAAATTCTCTATGTATAGTAGGTGCAAGTATTTGCCTCCACAAACATGAATTTTTAAAGCAGCCAGTATGAAAAAAGAGCTAGAAGATTTTTCAATCACGAAATCATTTTTGGGCTTGCAAGAAAGCATTTATGCTTACGATTAATAACAATTAAACAAACAAGGAAATGGAAGTACTATTAAATATATACCGATGTAAAATATTCAAGTAGATCACTTCGATTCATATGGAATAGCAACATCTAGAAAATTACATATGGGTTTGTTCGTTAATAAATGCGCCCCCACTTACATCAAAATGATAAATATATTTAACAAATTATAATAAATATATCATTTTAAGTAATAGATTACTCTAATTGCAGTTATAGAGATAACAATGGCCCCTTCTACGTCCCAAAATATTGATTAATTTGGTAAGTGAGGTTGTCATAAGTTCTATTTAACATATCTTAAATCTTAAAGTCAGCTTACTCTAGCTTTTCGCCAACCAAAATAAAGTCATATCAATAAAAATGAATCACAATCAAAGGCGGTATTATACCCAAATCTTTAGCAAGAAGGTTTGAAGAAAAAAATAAAAAAAAGTCTACGAGGATCATCAAATAAACATGGAAAACTATTCAAACACTTTCTTAAGATGAATTATAATGCCGACACTTCCTCTTAAACTAGACAATATAAGTCCTTTAACTCCATCTTAATGGATAGTCCTGAAAATTGAAGTAGACCCAAAGCTATTGTTAATATATCTACGAGTAGTTATGAAAGATAAACATGAGAGTGTGATCTTCATCGATAGCACAATATTCCGAACTAAATTATAGTCAACCTCAATGTGTTAGTTCTTTCATAGAGTATTGGAGTACTAGCAATATAGATTGTTGCATGATTGTAACAATGCAAGACAAAAGGGTGTATAGTAAGAAAATCAAATAACCCTAGAAGTGTTTAAACCCGCATCACCTCACATTGAAATGTGACATGGCCCTTTATTTGTTCTTAACAATGGACCTAACAACTATAGTTATGTCTTACTTTTTCAAGTTTACAAGTTACTTTGAACAAAAATGCAATATCTAGATTTGAATTGTTCGACATTAATTTGATCCAACAAAATTAATGTCAGAGAAGTCTTCCATATTAAGAAGTGAGTTATTTAAATTTTTTTCTTTAGGGACTACTTATATATCAAAGGATAAGAATTATAGATACTTATTGTATTTGCTAGGAAACAAGCATGTTGTAATAACACAAAATAATGAAGCATTTAAAAATAAAATCAAAATTTCTTACTTTTTCATGTGTCCAAGTTACTTTGACAAATATGCAATATCTAGATTTGAAATTTCCGACATTAATTGATTCAACATAATTAATATCTGAGAAGTCTTCCATATTAAGAAGCGAGTTCTTTATATTTCTTTCCATAGGGGCTACTTCATACATCAGAAGATATGAATTATAGGTACTTATTTTATTTACTAGGAAAAGTGCATGTTGTAATATCACAAAATAATGAAACATTAAAAAATAAAATTAAAATTGATCTAGAAGTTTCATCTCTTGATTTTCACATATCATGAAAATGATTAACAATACTAATAAAAAATTCTATAATTTTTTTTATCATTTCAATATATATGGATGTTTTATTTACAAAAAAAAAAGGTTAAACGTAATTGGATTTTTTACATTTTAGGGTAGTGGAGTCTAAAGGGTTGCCCTCCAAACTGGAGAAAATATCCAAGCTTCTTATCCTTACAAGTAATGATTAGATAAAAGATTTGAGCAACTATATAACAAGTAGTTAACTTAAAAGAAGCTTTAACTGGTTAGAGCTTTTTACAATACAAAAAAAAGAGACCATCTGATGTCAGAGTTCCATCCATTTACAATGAGTCTTGAATTGAAATATATATATATATTATCATTTTTACTCAGATCAGAACAAAGCCCTGATACCAGCTGTTGTGGTATATATATATATATATATTAAATAGAAGCATGCATGTGAGGTTGGCATAGAGAAGTTAAAATGACTGGTCAAGAATAATAAAAGGCGAAAAGAGAGATAACCATAGTAAAACAAGCAAGAAAGAGGTTCAGGCAAGCGGTTTTGTGAGAGCTTTGCGCTTATAAGTAACTTGATGTGATTATTGTTCCAAATGAGAAAAATTAGACTACTAGGAAAATCAACTAAACCAATGCTGAAAATTGTCTCATGGAGATCATTGATTTTATCATAGGGCAAAAGATTCCAGCCCACTTCATTACTTTAATATATAGTAAAATTAAAATGCCCCATCACAATTCATGGCCCATTAAAAATGGAGGTGATATCCTAAAGAGCGTTCTATAAGATTCTATGTAGGAATTAGAGGCGTGGATAGTAGTGAAAAGGAAGGTGTTTAAAGTGCAAGCCCGCAAGCCAACGAATTAACTGCACATGAATGATTAAATGTTGGAAGTGGATGGTCATGGAGTTTCACTTAATTTATATTCTACCCCCAATCACAATACTAAAATTGCTCCAACTACCTTTACAATTAAAAATCAGGTTTTCCTAAAAGAATTCCTTATTATGGAGTTGAGATCCAAAAATTTAAATCACCATGAGGCAAATAAGATTATGCTATAGTGAATAAGCTAAATTCCAACACTCTGAAACTATACATCCCCATGCAAGCATCTCACATTCTAGGATGCAAGGAAAGGGAATGAAATGAAGTATTATGAAGAAGATTGGGAAATATAAGAGTTTTGTTTCTCATGAGTTTGTAGCATAGGTGGTAGGACAAGCAAATGGCTTCAATTTAAGATATGCATAAGCCAATTTTAGAAGAAAAAGAAGTCATGTGCATAAAAACGGTGAGGTTAAGGTTAGGTACAAATGCAAAGATAGAGGAAAGGAGAGAGAGGGATGTGAATATCATAATGCTTTTAGGTATAGATAGATCATTCCACAAAAGGATGAGTCAAATATTTTCTCGAAGCAATAGTTCTATGTGTATCCTATTTTAATTCTTGCTTCTACCTCTAGTGTTCACCTTATGTGTAACATTCTCAGAAAAAGGGAAAAACTTGAAATCATAAGCAAAAGTTTCACATCTTAAATAAGTCAAGGCTTCCATTCATAAATCACTTTCTGAAAATATTTCAGCCTCCAAATGAACAGATATTTCTTTAGGATGGGACAAAGTAGTTGAAACTTTCACACAATATTTAGCACAAAAAAAAGCCTAGATTTTGAGACTATCATGTTGTCTATAGCAAGAGAAAATGTTAATTTTACTAAAAATTATGGAGAAAACATCAATGCTCCAAAAACAAAATGAAATGTTTTGAAACTTAACATAAGTTGGGAGAGTAAATAAATCCTCCTTCTAGAGATTGAAATCTAAGACAATTATGATGTAAAATGAAATAAACTTTAACCAAAGGTTTGAAAGTCCATATTCCTTTTAAGTTTCATGATATTTTTAGTAGTAGCAGAAACAGAACTATAAGAAAAAAAAACTTTCACCAATCATATATTTGATCAAAACAAGATGTCATGCTTGCAAACCAAACCGAAGCTCTTTTAGAGATAGATTTTATTACCTTGGCTCTCAATAAAAGAAAGAGAACTAAACTAAGTTGGGTTGTTGAAATAAAGGCAAAGGCATGCAAACAAAAGAACAGAAAAAAGTAAGAGTAGAGGGAAAATTAAGAGAAACAAAACTCGAGCTAAGAACAAAAAGTGATTGGAGAGACAAATAAGGTAGGTTGAAAACGTGATGGATCAAAGGATTGGCGGCCTATCATTGAACTAGGACATGAGTCTAGAAAAGTCAGAGATTCTACTAAGCCTTTATGAAAATCAAAGGTGGGGAGCAAGGCTAGAAAAGAATTCAATGAAGAGAAAGGCAAAGTGATGTAACATAGCGATTAAGAAAGAAAAATCATAGAAGGGTGGTGAAATCAGAGGGTGGGGAAAGCAAGCAAGATTTAACATATAACAGGACAAGAGCATGTGAAACCGATAAACTCTAGTAGAACCAAAAGCCATCAACTTCTTGGAAAACTAAGAATGCATTTGGGATATCTTCTTCACAGCTACACTTACCGACAATTGTCATACTTCTATATGCCTAAAACTTTTTTGTTATGTTTCAACCATTTAAAAAGTAGGTATTCACAACTAGATCTATTAGAGGGTGTCACTTATCGTTTTCCGACTGCTATTCGATAAAAAAAAAATCTATTATACCTGCAATAGCTTTTAGCACTCTATCTTTCCCACAATAATTAAACAGTTGACATTATGGATAACTAAAGTGGTCTAAACAAGCCCTAAACCTGGCTCTAACAATAAGCTGGTTACTGATTACATGACTTGGAGCCAGAGCCAGAAAATCGTTGTCAACTCTTTCATGGCACTTCTCAAAGGTAAAGAATAACAAATTTTTCGTTTTCATCACACAACCAGCCCCGAGATAAAAATTTCATAAATCACGGTCAGAAAAAACTGTTCTGGTCAAATCTAGCGCATTTATCATGAATTGCAGCTCTCGAAAATATATACTTAGACATCGATCGAAGAAAGCCATGGATGTCAACAAGGGCATTAATCGAGCATATGGAGGAAGACATATTAAGAACAAAACGGAAAAAGCAGAAGACAACTTTATCCAAGATCTAGGTCTCGGAAATGCGGAATAGTTGATACATAAATAACCTGTTGTTGCAGAAAAGAATTTTCTTACTCCAAGTCCATAGAATCAATATAGTTTGGGAAGTTAAAAGATTTGAGGGTGGCGGAGGAGGAACCAGGAAGACGAGAATTGCAGTTGTTAAGCGAACCTTCGGAAGATTTGGCGCCCAGCTCTGAACTTTCTTCTCCGTTTCCATCAAGCCCACTCACAGTCGTCGCTCACTTTCAATTTCGTCTCTCGGATTTGCTGGACCGATCGACATGAATCACTCTTATCAATTTTTTCTTATGTGAGAAGATACTTTCAAAGCTTGGTTTTTTTTAAAATAAGCTGAAGGAATTACTTTAAAAGATCGTTTAGTAGCATGTAAGCTCTTGAGCCTACTTTACATATATATATATATATATATATATATATATATATTTCTTTTTAAAAAAATGTTTTTTCCATATTTT